GTAGAAAACGCTCTTAAGCTCTAAGATCAATCGTTATCGAGAAACGCAGCCCCTCGCGGAAGACTGTCGCGCACAAACAAAACCAAAACACAAAATAAAATCCAGGCCTGGTCCTCTCTCGTCCAACACTGTCGTCACTCCTCCTTTTATCCTTCCGGAGCTCCTCTGTGAGACTCGAGACCGGTGAGTGGTGCAGGTGTCGCTCATTATCAATTACTCCACCGGCCTCGCTCCGTTCCCACGGCTCTCGGCCCCGCCCCTCTCGTCACAGACAGCAACTCCGGGATGAGCTTCGAAGAACCAACCAATCCAAGATCACGCCAAATCATCAACAATCAAATCCAGCTAACGGAGTTAGCGATGTACGAAGAACGGACCCCAGGTGGAAATTGAACATCCCACAATACCGGAGGATCCACTAACTAACATGTGCTAATGTTTGTCTGTTGCAGATCAAGAGCAGGGAGCAAGCCGGGCCAAGAAGCCCTCCTCACCAAAGAAGAAAAAGAAAAGAGAGAGAAAACTGGGGAAAGCTAAGGGTAGGTTTCATAAATCTTTGCAACTAACAATTTTGATAACTGATGAATCTAATGATTATCAGAACAATTGTCTTTACAGTAAGAGCATAATGCACATCTCATGATTCAGTGTAGTATACGATACTGAACTCGTGGTTCATGATTCTTTTAACTGAATCTGTTTAAAAAAAAACATTTAGGCCGTGTGTCCACCAAAAGGCTAGCATATTTTATAAACTGCTTTCAATGGAAGCGCTGCATTTTTTTTAAAACCCCAGCAGCGTGAAGAGGTGCTGAGCATCTATGTAGCGCTGAGCGCTCTGCATTTATTAATCGGTCCCTGAGAGTTGAAGAATGTTCAACTTTGAGTAAAACGCAGCACTCATCACTGTCACTTTTTACCCAGCAGTCCAATCAGAGTGGAGAACAACCCTATAAACATCATTTTAGTACTTCAGATTACAGTGTGTTTATGTTAAAGTTGATATTAATAAAAAATAACTTAATAGTTAACAACATGTTCAGTTGGATTAATTTAAACACTTCCTGCATCATGACATGATTATGATCCGTAATAATGCATTGATTATGACAGCGCAGCTTTCAGGTATATTAGATTTGCCATTAGCGTTCACCGCTTCCATAATGCTTTGGGAAAAAATCACAAGGTAACGACTCTTCAATGCAGGCTTTGATGTCTGTGTACTATTCTGAAATAGCTTTTTAGAACCGCTTTTCTGGCAATTCTGCACTTAACTTAGTTTAAAACAAGTCAAATAAATTACTTATTTTAATTTTATTTATATTGCTATAAGCATTTACTCAACCAAAAACAAGACACTCCTAAAATGTCTTGTTTGATGAAGATGTACTGTAGTCTGCAGCATTCCTGAATTGCAGTCATTTAAGTTTTAAGTCATTTTCCAGTGTTTCCTCAAAAGTGGAGATGACCGGTAATAGGCTAGTTTTATGTTGATTTTTCTTGTTTTTTTTATTTGTGGAGGGTCAATTTTAAGTATATTTTTTTGAGTGACTTTTTCTTCCTTATTTGTTACTAGTTTATTTATTTATTTATTTTTTTTATAAAAAAAAAAAGTCCAGAGCACAAAAACACCTTTACTTGTTTATCACCATTTATTCACTTCATATCTGTTAGTGTTTATCACTAATCATGGTAAATTACAGTTCATATGAAAGCATGCATTATTTATTATTGTTATTATGGGATTGCTGGCTTGCGGGGGTGTGGTCACCAACAGAGTCGACCCTGACATCCAGTGTAGGCAAATGCCATCCGTTAAGAGACTGAACGCCAGTGGGCGTAGCCTATGGTGTGATGATTTATAGCTATTGGTCGATGTCTTGCTCTAGAGGTGGTCATATGCAAATATATTTGCCCATGTGACATCACCGATCCCACAATATCAAAACAAGCTGTTTTTGGAGCTTGATTAAATAAATGCTTTGTTTGTAATGAGGAGGACATCTTAAGCTATGAAACTTGCAGGATGTGTTAATGGTACAAAGACCTCTTATATGCTAAAAGTTCGAGGCAAATTTGATTTCCAATGTCATGACCCTTTTAATTATTAATTCATTAGCTCTGATGCATACTTAACATCTTTGGGACGAATGTTTTTCTGAGGATAAAATTACTTTTTGACCAAATCATGCATTCACTTACTTTATGTGACTGTGGGCAAGCAAAAGCAGTTTAAGAAAGCTACATTTTGGTCTCTGTTTTTTATGGTTATACAATCTATATTGTCTGTCTTGTCATTTGTAGAGACAACCAGGATAACAGTGAAGAGACCATGGTGTGAAGAAGAGAGAAGCGCAGTAAACAAACATCTAGCAAGGTTTGTGGCATTTCTAACGCTTGTTAGTGTTAACCGAGCTGGTCACTGGTTCATCAAATTACACCAATTAAAGAAGTAGACTGTTTTTGAACATCAATCTGAAAATAGCATTTTTTTTTGCATTTCTCAGGCAGCTTTATAGTGATCAACAGGAAAATGCTTAATGATGCAAATAGAAATTAATGTAGTTGTAAAGATGCTCTGAGTCATTACTCAGCTGATGTTAGCTCAGTTCAGTTCAGTAATGACTCAAAGCTGTCCACAATAAAAACAAATAAATAAATAAATAAAACGAATGTACTTAAAATAATTCAGTCAGAAACGAACTCAATAGCGCCCCCATGAAAATGTCCTCACTCAGCTGGTAAAACACTGGTTCTTTTCCTTTGTTTTTTAAATAAGCCAAGGTGAAAATGTGAATCATGGAGACACCTAGTGTTGAAATATATTATACATTTACCTGTAGTTGTGGCAGAAATGGTGGTCCTCATTTTGCAGGTTAAATTACTCGGTCCTCACATTGACTGTCATACAGGAATGTGTGTGTGTGTGTGTGTGTGTGTGTGTGAGTGTGTGACAGTGAGTGACACAGTCACTACTAGGGATGCACCATTACTACTTTTTTTTAAAGATAAGTACAATTACAGATATTTACTTTCTGAAGAAAACAGAAAACACTTTTTGTACTGCACTGTAAACAGGGTCAGAAGTTAGTGGGATTAAAGATAACTTGTATGAGGCATTTATTACCTTTATCGAGGACTTTAGGGATAATAGACAAATATGTATAAAGAAGAAGTATGAACATATGCACACTTTTACTGCTGCTCGTTCTCGTCTTTCTTGATGTGTTTGTGTTCATTTAACACTGAAGACCTGATGTGTGATTTGGTGTGCTTAATCTAACCCACTAATACAACTGCCATTTTTTTTTATTACCAGAGAACCTTTTGGATCCCAGCCTGCATGCACGATTTGTTTCATGTGCCAGTAATGAACTGCCCAAAGCCCTGCGTAAGTTACAAAGCTTTCTGAAGATTCCAGACAACACAATGCATAAGTGGAGCAAGAGTTTGATTTCATAGTTAATGGTTTTCATTGTGTGGGCTGATTTCTTTTTATTATGTTTTAGAAAACCTCAAGGAAAATAGCGACAGCAATGGTCTGGACCACTTCTTTGGTCTTCTTGGGGGGGTTATTGGTTGGCACCTCTGGCCACAGGCCAGGTGTCATCCTCAACCTCACCACAGAAGAAGTCATCGACTCTAAAGAGGGACAGCATGGCCACGCCATTTTTGTAAGTGTTTTAGTAGTCATTAACTTTTTTTTCACATTTGTTTGTTTAAATATATAGTCGTATACTTATTCATAATTATTTTACTGTGCAGGTGAAAAACCACAAAACGAGCAGGGCCTTTGGCCATGCCATATTAGCAGTGACAAAACAGGAGTACAAATACATGAGCGAGTGCGTGTGGTGAAAAGTGGGTGCTGACTTTGGCAGGCCCATATGTACCCACACTTTTGAAAAAGCCTTGAGGAGGCCTTTGTACAGCCCGCCCTTTTATGGCCCTAAGGACCTCAATGTCCACACAAGTAAGTGTAAATTGTGATATTGATTATTGTGTTGGTTGATAATATTAGCTAGTATAAGAATTAGTATTGAAAAAGATTCAATGCATGAAAAGATGTATATCTTATTCTTAAAATAAGATCAATAAGATTTTATGGCTAGAAATAAGATTGCAAGTTTTGACTCGATGAGGAGTTTTTGCAGTGTATTGCCAGATCTTGCCTCTATTAATTCAGCTTCAGCAGAGCAAATGAACAAAGAGTTGTCAACCAGCAGGTACTTCCTCTGCCAGGTGAAGGACATTCACTACATGTTTGCCTTGTGGCTGTATTTCCATCTGCACAACCAGAGGATCAACAATATGTTCTTGCAGATGTGCACCTAGGGCGACATAAACACCTGTGAATGTTATAGATGACAAACAGACAAAGGTACTACATGTAGTGCAATAAATGTTATCGACATACATTTTCATCTCAATAATGTGTCATATAATTTCAGAGATGTACCAAAGAACATCTGCAAAATCATTAACTGAGCTACAAGCTGAACCAGCTGTAGTTGAGGAAGACTTGGGGAGTTTCTGTGTCATTGTTAAGGTACAGACTGGCTTCTGTATGTGTTCAGTTTACAGTAGTTTACTGTAACCCAAAAAACTACACCTGTATTATTTTCTGCTTAATTTACATGTAATGAACAGGACAAGCTGAAACAACTTTACATTGCCTGGAGGAGAGAGAGGCAAATGATTCACAGATTTTCAGCATACGCAACTATACATTGTGGACTTGAGAAGTGTTTGCCCATCTTCTCTGTTAGATGAAGACCCAAATAAGAAGATGCCTTGGTTAACGAATAATGTAAGTGTGCTTAAAATGATCTTATGTCTGCTTTACACATTTTTATTAAGAGCTCAGTACATGACTCTGCACACAGTTCATTTAATATTAGCACTACACTCATATTTCATTCACACATTCAAACTACACTCATCTCATTTTCTATATATTAAAGTCCATGTAAAGCTATATTAAATGTGTGTTCTGAGTTTGTCACACCACAGGAAAAAAAATTTTATTAACCACCCAGCCAAATTTGAATGATAAAAAAAAAACGCCAAGTAAATAAAATCAAGATATCAAAATCTTGAAAAAACAAAGCAGTATTCTCTGCTCTCAAACGCTGGGGCGTGTCCGCTCATATCTCTCTAAATAACAATGACACACCTGAGTTTAACCACTTACTGTGCGCCCCTATTTTTGAGCATTTTCTGAAAAACGACATAAACCAAATAAAAATGTCTGTAGCTCTTGAACCCTATGGTCTATATTTATAAATCTGGTATTGTTTGAAACTAAACACTTGAACCTTTGTTACTCTGGAGTCATAATAACTCAAAATTAGTATAGCAACAGAGTAAAACAAGGTAAAATGTAAATGAAAGTGACTCACGATATCTTTGAATGAAATTCACTGAGGGAAAAATGGTTGAGGCTTTAATGCTAAAGGCCTGAAAACACCATAAAGATAAAGCTGAATGTCTGACCATACTTTGATTCAAATTTGAAAGTGAAAGTGACGTGACATGTGGCCAAGTATGGTGACCCATACTCGGAATTAGTGCTCTGCATTTAACCCATCCAAAGTGCATACACACAGCAGTGAACACACACACCGTGAACACCCACCCGGAGGTGATTCTAACCATTAGGCCACGACTTCCCTAAAATAAAAAACCTTGAAGACAAAACATTAGAATTGTTCCAAATAAATACTGTTTAGTTACAATGTTCAAATGTTGTTCTGAAATAGTTTTGTGTTTGTGTGTGGTTTCATGGGTAGATGAGTTCTGAATTGATATACATATAGCCTATCTATGTAGTATATGTAGTATGCAGTGCCATATGGAGTCTCTAAATAGCCTTTTTGAAAGGATTCCTAGTCTTTTCTTGAAATAAAAGATCTAAATGACTTTTCCTAAGCTTTTCTTTAAATAAAATACCATAAAGATGTACTTTATGCAAGTTTTTACCTAAAAAATGTTTTATTTCTGCTTTTATTTCAGGAAAAGTCTAGGCGTTTTTTCAAAAAAAGCCATTTGGAGACTCCAAATGGACACCTGGTAACCAAATGAGTCAACACTACAAATGCTGTTCAGAAATAGTTTTTTCTTGTGTGTTATGGGCAGAGCAGTTCTGAATTGATATACATATATGCATTATGTAGTTTTGCCTCATTTGGTCATTTGGTTACCAGGTGTCCTCACTTTAAGACTTCGAAAAACACCCAAGTGTCAGTAAAAAGTGCGTGTAACTCACTGATAATTCTTTCCAAGTTATTCAGTCCGTTTTGGTGAAAACAAACTGATTTAAGCAGTTTTATATGGTCTACTCTGTAGTGTGCCATACAGCACTTCCCAGTCCAGCAGTTCCACTGCACTCCTCTCTAGTTATTGTACTCTCTACAGTCTATTGGTAATGACGGAATTTGCGACCATAGTTGCTTTTGGGAAACACACCCCTGACTGAAAGAAACCGGGCACATGTCAAGTTATCATTGACATGTGCGAAACAAGGCATTGCATTGCGTGGTCACAAGGAAGACACAGAAAGCCTGAACAGAGGAAACTTTTGTTAATATGGCCCGAGATAAACCAATGCCTTGATGAGCTTCCAGCTAATGCAAAAATGATGAGCCCAGACATTCAAAAATGACCTTGAAACTGCAGCATTACTTCTCCAACTAAAAATCAGAGCAGAATTGCATGCACAGGCTGACACCTACTAGGGATGGGTCACGATTTTCGAATATTCGATTAGTTGATTTAATTATAGAATATCGAATAGGTTGTGCAATTATTGTCTTAAAAAATTTCCCATGTTTTCCGTGCTGATGCGGTGGTGACGCGTTCATGTAAGCAGAGGGTGGAGCTGCCAATAACGCACCTAAAAGCTGTCTCACGCGTACACTGTAGACTTGCGTGGCATAAAAAAAGGCTTTCGTAGCATATAACGGTTACAGTAACTTGGGACGATGTCAAATAAGAGTTCTGTGCGGACCACAAACATCCCCGACTGGGTTAGAGGTGTGGCTGAATCCGTATTCAGAAAGGCGCGGAAAACAAATAACGCATTCTACGGAGCCACAAAAGGGACATGGTTACCCGCTTGCTAAGTTCTGTGCGGACCACAAACATCCCCGACTGGGTTAGAGGTGTGGCTGAATCCGTATTCAGAAAGGCGCGGAAAACAAATAACGCATTCTACGGAGCCACAAAAGGGACATGGTTACCCGCTTGCTAACGGTAGCCTGTTAACATTTCACTTACTACATAAACAGAGTAAGGAGAGATGACTGATAGGATGATGGCGAATGATTTGCAGATCCTGAGCAGCACTGACAAACATCTAATCTTGTAAAATGTGTGGTAAGTACTGCCGAGTGCTGCTCCGTACGTGTGATCGCAAATCTCGAAAGTGAAAGTAAAAACCAAGCGCACGTTCATAAGCGATTTCAATCCCCCGCATATTAATAATGGCTATCTGATGCCCGCAGTTTATATACAGTATAATTACCCAATGATATAATTGCGACAGAATATATTGAAGTATATTTTTCCTCCCATCTCGTATCTATTTCCTTTAGGGATTCAATTTTTTTAAATGGAAATGTCCTAGCCTTCTGAGCAGTTCATTTATGCTAATCGTCGGACTGTTTGACTGTTGAGTGCCGTCATTCGGTTGTGTTTATTATATTAATATGTTTCAGCATGTTACAATCATTATATGGCTTAAGTTAAAGTAGCCTATCTTCTGAATTAAACAGTTTATCATACAGATTTTACATTTGTTTGTCTGTCTGTGCTCACAAACTGTAGGCCTATTTTAAGACTGAAACGTGGCCCAATAAGACTACATAACCAGCTCTCCCTTAGATGTTAATCTGGACAAAAATTCTGATTCATAATCACGACGTCGTCTAATGAAATAAAATTTTAATAAAAAAGAATATACATTTTGGAGTGAACTATCCCTTTAATATTTATTTTTCTTATTCACCAGAATCTAAATTTTTTTTATTTTTTATGTCTGCTTCATTTGCTATCATCTTCAGTAAAAAAAAATATAGTCCAACTTATTTCATGTTTATTTCTTCATCAGAATGGCATCATCTCATTATAGCTGCCCCAGTCCCGTCAGGGTCAAATGTGTACTAAACCATAAAAACACGAAAACCCTAAACTTTAAGCTTGTTGAGGGTGTAATTAGGCCTGGCACTCTAGAGATCACATACATTAGTGAATTGTGAAGTGGTGGTGAGGTGTATGTCACAGTCCACTTCAGACAGGGCAGCCTTCGAAGAGGGTGTGACATACTATATAAAACACTACACCGTGTCCTCACGGTATGGGCAGGAACGTCTGTTCATGAGCCCAAACACAACGATCTACAAAACCGCTCTCCTCTCACTGAGCTTTGATGCCGAGACGATGGCCAAAGATGCCCTGATTCCACCATCTGACACAGTGACTGGGGATGAGCAGGGCCTCTTTTCAAGAGGGGGGTACGTAACACCGGAAGGAACAGTGGAACATGTGAGTGATTTAAACTGAATTATCAAACACTGTCCAAAAAAATTATTAATATTTAACAACCGATATTTTAATTTACCATAACTTTATATATGTAGGTTCCAAGGATGACGACTGTGAGGGACACAGAAGTCCTCATCCTGGATGTGGGGATCAAAACCGGCTCCAGAATCCTGGACTTGTCCTTGTGGCAGGACCAGGCCCTGACCAAACTCCAAATAAACAACAAAATAAACATCCGTCACCTCCGAGCAAACGTCAAGGCCGGCAAATTCAATTCAACAGTCCACACAAATGTAGAGGTATGTAGCATATACATTAGAGCAGGGCAACTCTGAAGCATAAAACATGCCTGTCTGGAAGTTTCAAGAAATCCAGAAGACTTTGGCAAGATTTTTCAGTTGTTTGATTGTTGTTATTTTTGTTGCATATAAACAATCTGTTACTCCTAAATTATCAAGTGGTAACTATTTCACAAAATTAATAACACACCCAAGGCTGCATTGTGCCTTGCAACAACCTTCAGCCATGACAATATTCACGATATAGCACAGTTTTTCATAGATTAATGTGTAAAAATAAATATTATAGTCACACAATAAAGCAAAATAATAAAAGATTCATTATCACGTATTGTGATTATCACTAAATCTGTTTTTTTTATTTACCTTTGTTTGCTCTTGGAGCAAGGACCAGTGGTGGAGGACAGTGTGGTCATCGGCTTGTCTGAAGCAAATGGTGAAGTCTCCTTGCTCACTGAGGACTTCAGTTAATTCACAGCACCTCCTCAGCTGCTTGAAGGAAGTGTAGAAGAGCTCCTGTGCAGCTTCCACTTCATTTGGAAGTTATGCACGACTACAGAAAATAAATTAAGTTGATGAAATGCAAGTTGACAGTTGTGTGGAACAGTTTTTTTTTCCAGTTATTGTTTGCTGTTCCATTTTAGAATATATGTATGTTATTTAATTGTGTTTTGCATATATATATATATATATTTTAAATTGTTCATTTAAAATAACTAAAATTGTTACATCTGTTAATGTTTCTTATTAATATATAATATTTATTTGTATATAGTTCATTTATTGATATATTTATAATATATTGATTTTATATTTTTTTTATCTAACACTACTGTAGCTCTATGTGTTATTTTAATTTTAGGATAGCGCACCAG